GAAGGGCGGGCCTTGTTTTGTTTTGTTTGTGCCCAGTCTCCTGGAATAAAGATAGAGGGTTTAAGTCTGAGCTTCTGCACATCGTAGCTGTGTGGTCTTGAGTAAGCAACTGTATCTCTCTGAGTCTGTTTTAATCTGTAAATTAGGAATAATAATAGTACCTAATAAACTAACAATAAGACAAAAATAAGACGACCTACCTTCAGAGTTGCTAAGAGGATTCACCAGTACAGATGGTCATGGTGGTAATTCACAGCCCCCTCGTAGAGGTATTGATGTGTATATGTGCATGTCTGTGCCCATGTTTGTGTCAGTGGAGTCCGGAAGGATTCCTTGCTACCATTCTTGCTCTGAACTCAAAGTCAGATTTAGTGGCCTCCAGTAGGAGTTGGGTCTCTAGCAGAACTGGGACTTGGCTTTGGGGCTCTTGGCTCCTAGCCGACCGTTCCCATCTCAGGGAATGAAGGGAAGGGGTAAGGTAGGGATGCTTCTTGGGGAGCCTGGCTCCAGAGATGTTACCCACTATGGGCTGGAGCTAGAACTGGGCCTGGCTCAGAGACACAGGTCTAGAGATGGACATGAGTCAGGGAGAGAGAGTCAATCCGGTTAAGGAATTACCCTGAGGCTGGGCGCAGTGGCTCATGCCTGTAATCCCAGCACTTTGGGAGGCCAAGGTGGGGGCATCGCTTGAGGCCAGGAGTTTGAGAGCAGCCTGGCCAGCATGGTGACATCCCGTCTCTACTAAAAATACAAAAATTAGCTGGGTACGGTGGCACGTGCCTATAATTCCAGCTACTTTGGAGACTGAGGCACGAGAATAGCTTGAACCTGGGAGCTGGAGGTTGCAGTGAGCCGAGATCACGCTACTGCACTCTAGCCTGGGTGACAGAACGAGACTCTATCTCAAAAAAAAAAAAAAAGGAATCACTCTGGATGGGGTCAATCAGTCAGCCCATCTAGAGTGACTCCTTGGAGGTCATCCTGGCTGGGGTCAGTTGTAGGGGTCATTTGGCAGAGGTCAGGGGTCATTGTGGCTGGGGTGGGCAGGTCTAGGATCAGTCAGTCTGGTGGTGATTCTGGCTGAAGTGAGATAGTCTGGGGTCGTCTGTATGAGGCTGAGGCCACTTTCAACAGGGACAGTCAGCTGGGAGCCAGGCTGGCTGAAGTCAGTCTATTTGGGGGTCACCAACTTGGGTCAGTCTGTCTGTGGATCACAGGACTGGTGTCAGTCTATCTGGGGGCTCCTCTGACTGAGGTCAGGTGGTCTGGGTGTCATTCTGACCAGGTTAGTCGGTCTGGGAGTCCTGGCAGTTCGTGTGACCTGGCTCAGGATGAATAAGAGGAAGCCAAGGAGCTGGCACTCTCAGGCTCTCCCCAGGGCGGTGGGTGAGACATCGGGGCAGCGGCCTTGTTACTTGTGAAGGAACAGGAAAGGCCTGAACCCCAGCCAGGGCTTTAGATCCTGGGCTTCCTTTTATGGCAACCCCTCTATCTCAAGGAGGCCTTGGCTAAGAGCCTTAGGGCAGGCCCAGCTCAAGCTGAAGTTAGCTGGCCTCCTCCTCCAGGAAGTCCTCCATGACCACTATGCTCTCTCTCTATACTTGCCATGTTCTCTCTCTCTGCTGCACTGTGGGTCTTTTTCTAGATGGGAAGCTGAGGCCCTCCAGGCACAGATGGGGTTAAAACCACCTCCCACAGTCAACAAGGCATGATGCTGACCATGGCTTTTCAAACAAAGAGCCAAAGAGCTCAGCCAAGGTCCTGCCCCAGCTCTGGAAAGAGTATTCTGTTACTTCATCCCATCTGCTTGGTGCCATCCTCACACCTACGTCTCACCATTGCAGGAGAAGACAGGGAGCCCCCAGCAGTGAGGAGCCCTTTGTGCCTGGCTCTTCTGGGTGTATTTTTCTTTTTTCTTTCTTTTTTTTTCTTTTTTTTTTTTTTGAGACAGAGTCATGCTGTGTCACCCTGACTGGAGTGCAGTGGCACCATCTCAGCTCACTGCAACCTCTGCCTCCCAGGTTCAAGCGATTCTCCTACCTCTGCCTTCCAAGTAGCTGGGACTACAGGCAAGCGCCACCACACCCAGCTAATTTTTTTATTTTTAGTAGAGACGGGGTTTCACCATGTTGGCCAGGCTGGTCTCGAACTCCTGACCTCAGGCGATCCGCCCACCTTGGCCTCCCAAAGTGTTTGGATTACAGGCGTGAGCCACTGCGCCTGGCCTGGGTGTGTTTTTCATGTGCTACTTCACATCATCTGCATCACAACCTAGAGGAGTTGCAGCTGCAGATGAAACAGTAGAGCCTCCTAAGTGAAGTTGCTTGCTGCGTGTGAAGATGCCTGTAGCACTGTGCTTGTGACATGGCACTCACCTCCCAAGTGCTGTTGTTTGGGAAAAGCTTCCTCAAGTGTCATGTGGCATGTGGCACTCATTCCCCAAGTACTGTTGTTAGGAAAACCTCCCTCAAATGGTGTTTTTCCTCTGCCCTCACACCACCACAGCAGCAGCCATCAACACAGGAGACCTCTGTGACCAAATGTGTGGGGGCTTCTCCCCACTACCAAGCAAGCAATTAATTCTGTAGCAGACACCAGCTGGGTGTCCTCCAATTCAGTTCCAGCACATGGGTCAGATCCCATGGGTTGAGGGCTCAGTCCCCATGACTGCCTCCTCCTCCAGACACCAGTTGCAAGTCTGGGCCTCCAGAACTTTCAATGACCAGCTGCAAGTTGGGGTTCCCACGACCCCCTCTTTGGGTTTAATTTGCTGGAGCAGCTCACAGAACTCAGAAACATATTAACTGGTTAATTATAAAGGATATTGCAAAGGATACAGATGAAGAGATGCATAGGGTGAGGTATGGGGGAAGGCACATGGAGCTTCCTTGCCCTCTCTGGACCCACCACCCTCCAAGAAGCTCCATGTGTTCCACTGTCTGGAAGCTCTCCGAACCCTGTCCTTTTGGGTATTTACAGAGGTTTCCTTACGTAAGCATGATTGACAAATGTGATTGCACATAAAGCGCCTGATCTAAACCCAGCAAGGCCTGTCTGCTTAAACTTGTCTTGGCCTTTCTGTGGCATTCCTTCCTCTAGGGTATCGGGCAGGACCCTCTCTGGAATGACCCGTGATTGGATTAGAGCCCTGCCTTGGACAGGTGAAGGGAGGGCAGGAGCAGGTCAGAGAGAAATTTTGTTTCCTGAGGCCTGTTTCTGAGGCCTAAAGTGTCCCAACATTATAAGACTGTACAAAGGCTTTTATATATATAAATAAATATATGTTAGGTTGTGCAAAAGTAATTGCTGTTTTTTCCATTACTTTAAAAAAAAAAAAAAAAAGGCAAAAACTGCAATTACTTATGCACCAGCTAAATATATGTAAATACCACAACTATCTATACCTGTCCCTCTTCTTCTTGAGATTGGGAAGCAGCTCAGGTCTGCTCCTTCTGGTATCGAAACCCCTTTTTGTGGGAAGCCTGGACTTTGTCATCTGACCCACATGGGTTCAAATCCCACCTCTGTTCCTTATGTAGACTTGCATGGTACATATAAGAGCTGCTATTTCCTAAGTGCTTACGTATGCTAGGCGTTGTGCTAAGTGGGCCACTACATCAAATCCTCAACCAGCCTATGTGCAGATAGGGAAACACAGGCTCAGAAAGAGAAGCCACCTGCCCCTGGTTACAGGGGTTGGCAAATTGCAGTCAAGATTTGATCCCAAGTCTGTGATGCCAAAGCCCACTCATTGATCCACCACGTGGTGCGGTGGACAAATCCCTTCATTCCTCAGAACCTCAGTCACGTCATCTGTCAAATCGGGAGGAGTACCAGTGACTGGCAGGCACCCAGGACAGGGTCTGGCATGGTTTGCGCTTGCTTCCTCGCCACTTGCTTGGGCATTTTCCTGGGTTTCTGGTGCCTCAGGCTCCTGTTGGGACTCCGAACACTAAGGTTTTGGAGTGAGTGGCAGGGAGAAGCTTTCAGTTCCTTTCTGAACCAATAGTGTTCTCAGGTTTATTAGGCAACCAGCTTAGGCCTTTGATGAACTCACTGAGATATATAGACCTCATTACCAACCAAAGGACTCACATCTATTTCAATCCCCACTTCCTCCCCCTTTCTCATTTAAACTGTTAGTACTGGTTGCAAATCATGGGAAGTTGCTTCATCTAGTCATATATGTGCCTCGTCCACACGTGACTATGCTTTTGCATGTCACATTCCCGCAGGCAGAGACCTAACTTGACTGACTTTGGGCAATGTCTGAATCCCATTGACATCTGTCAAGTAAGAAAAATAGTGGTGCCTGACTCAGAATGCGTGGCCTGAACAAGGCTCTGTACGTCCACCATGTAGCATTGTGCCCGGCTTGAGTGGATTGGTGGCAATTGTTATTTTTAAAGGAGATCTCATTGGGCTGGATTATGGCACGCATGGTCCTGCCAGGCCCAGGGCCCACTGTCTGTCCTCTATGGGAATATAGAGAGGCAGGGGACAGAACACTGGGTAACAATCAGGAGATCTCAGTTCAAACCCCATCTCCGTTGCCAGTGAGCTGTGTGACCCTAATGAAGTCGCTCAGACTTTTGGGGTCTCAGTTTCCTTATCCACAAAGTGGAGATAATTCTATTCCTGATCTTATGGGTTGTTGTGAAGTTCCAATAATATAGCAATCCTGATAAGTAGTTTTTATTGAGGAGGGTCTTTGATGGATGGTGGTGATGGTGGTGCCAGTGGTGGTGGTGGTGGCGGCGGGGGGGCGGTCCTGGGAAGTACTGGGGGAGTAGGCATGTAGGGACATCTTGGTATTGGGAGGGGGCAGTGAGGGGGACCATGGTAGAGGGAGAGGGTGGAGGAGGGAGAATTTTGCTAGAGGGAGGGAGCAGTGTGGGGAAGGGCCTGAAGAAAGGGAGGCGGGTGGGGGCTACCCTCCAGGAACCCTGCTGGCCAGTAGCCCTGCCTTAGCCTGGGCTAACCAGACCCTGCTCTCACAGCTGGCTGCACCTTTGAGGAGGCAAGTGACCCAGCAGTGCCCTGCGAGTACAGCCAGGCCCAGTACGATGACTTCCAGTGGGAGCAAGTGCGAATCCACCCTGGCACCCGGGCCCCTGCGGACCTGCCCCATGGTAAGTCTACTCTCCATCGCCATTACCCCTTCTTCTCCTTCCAGAGGCACTTCTACCCACCTACTGTGTGACCTTGGGCACATTACATAACCTCTCTGGGCGCCATCTGCATTTGCATCTTTAATGTCATATGTGACACTGAATGTGGCTTTCTCTCAACACTGTCTAATTGTGCACGTCAGGTAGTTTCGTGTGTGAAATGAGTGCAGGTTCAAGCCATTAAAGGCTCTCATGGCTGTGAGTTAAAACTCACTTCCAATTACTTCCCTTGCTGCCTAGCTCAGGATCCAGCCCACTCCCACTCTCAGTTCTTCCTAAATCCTCTATCTTTGGCAGGCTGTCTTCAGAGATTCTTTTCTCCCAAAAAGCCCCTGAATCCTGATCTCTCCAGGACTTGGAGATGCTGAAAGAGCAGTAGCATTGGGACTAGACGTGTTTAAAACCTTCCTTCCTCTGCCTGCTTCCTCCTGGAAGTCCCAGATCCTTCTCAACTTCTACCTTGCTCTGTTCCTGTTTCAAGATGGGGCAGCTTTGTCATCCTGAGCTCCAGATTGGGAGGCAGGAGACTAATAATATGGATTCTAGTACTGACTTCCTGCTTTCCTCATGGCCCCTAGAGCACTCATTCCAGAGTCATGAAGACCTGGGCTCAAACCCTGGCTCCATCACTTTACCAGCAGTGTGACCTTGGGCAAGTCACTTAACATCTGTGAACTTCCATTGTCTTCACTGTAAAATGAGGCAAACAGGACTCCATTTCAGAGGGTCATGAGATGATGCGTATAAAGTACAGAGCACAAGGGTGGCATGCAGGAGTCAGTTATTTAGTTGCTATTGTTGAGGGTCTTTGGGGAAGACCTTTGGGGAAGAGGAGTTGTACAACTAGTACTCTTCTTCACGGGATACAGAATCAACTGGGAATTAAAAAAGAATGAGACAAATAAAGGCCAAATTGTCAACTTTATTACTGATAAGGGCTGTGTCAGAGGACATAGGTAGTGTGGGTATCAAATGGGCTTTCTGAGTGAATCCCCATATTCCACAGCCTGAAGCCCCCTCCCTTTGCCCCATCACACTAGTGCCCAGGGTCTTCACTGCCCAGCTCACAGCATGGCTGAGATTGCATCTGTTGTCAGGGAGGGGCAGCGAAGATTCTCAGTGGTGGGGCAGCGAAGATTCTCACTGGTGGGGCCAGGACTTGAAGCCACTAGGAGAGAAGACCTTCATGACCTGGCACAAGTGCCTCCTGCAGACTCTCACAGCTTGCCCTGCCCCTCCCCTTCTGTGCATTCGCTCACACTGTGCCCTTCCTGGGGCACTTATCTCTGCCTCTGCAGGTGTTAGTGGGTATCACAGTTTGACTTCTCTGAAAATAAGGTCCCATGGCAGGGACCTCGTGGGGGCCTCTCCATATTCCCAGGGCCCAGCCTCAGTCTGATACATGGTTGGCACTCAGGTACAAAGCAGCTGATTGGAATTCACCTCTTACAGTCCTGACCACCCTGAGTGTGCTCTACCTCTCTTGTCACGTACAAGCAGAGATATACCCAGTGAGAAAGGGGAGAGGGGAATTTAGCAATTAGTGTGAGCCTTGTGCTAGGTCTTGAGGATGTGGTGGTGAGCCAGATGGACAGTCTTTGTCCTCCTGGTTCTCATATTCTAGGAAATGGAGCTGGGGGTGGAGGGAGAAGAAAGGAGGGAGATTCACACTCAGAGATGGAGAGCAGGAGAGAAGAGAAGCAAGAGCGACAGGGATAAAGGGAGTAAATGAAAGAGAAGGGGAGGGATGCAGTGAGCGGAGGGAGAGGCAGAGGGAGCAGAAGGAGGAGGAAAGAACAAAGTGTCAGATTGAAAGAGAGGGAAAGATGCACACAGCTGCTTGCAGGGAGAGGAGAGAGAAGTAGCATGAGTGGGCCAAGAGGGAGTGTGTTGGGGGTTGGGAAGTGCCCCTTCCTGGATGGGGATGGGAACTTGAGTTTAGTTTACCACTGCCCTGCCGGGACTGATCCAGGAGCCGCCTCCATAGGCCTTCTAGCTTATAGAGATGAATGAAATCCCCTCCAGCAGAGTCCCCAGGGAGCCCTCCTGGAGCAGGGATCTGAATGAGCTTATGTTGGCTGGCAGCCAAGCCCAGGAGGAGGCAGCGCTGGGTGGTTTCAGGTGCCCTTTGGGAAGCCCAAATCCTCCAGCCAGGTCCTGAGCCAGCCTAGTCCACTTCTACTCCCCCAGTACCCAGGCTGGGTCTCTGGGGAAGGGACAGGCTGCCTTTCTCCAGGTTGGAAGTCAAGGGGATTTGTATCCCAGGAATTTAGACTCAGGGATGGGGTCTGGAAGGGAAATTGGAATCCTTTCATTCAATCTCTATTCTACCTATTGATTCAGCTTGTGTCCTGAGACCTCACAGGCTAGTGGGAGACAGACAGGCACTTTAGTAATGACCCAGGGGCCACGAGAGGAGCCCTTGGTGGGAGGCGGAGGCAGGGCTTTGGAAGGGGTGGCCTTTGAGGGACTGTCATGTGCCAATATCTTGACTCCAGGGGTGAATGACCTAGTCCCTGCCTCCAGGGATGGCTCAGAACATGGGGAAAGCTGTGGTGAGGCCGGGCATGGGCTTTGTGACCTGTAGATTGTAAGGAGCCCTTTTTTTTTCTTTTTTTTTCTTTGAGACTGAGTTTTGCTCTGTCACCCAGGCTGGAGTGTAGTGGCGTGATCTTGGCTCACTGCATCCTCTGCCTCCCAGGTTCAAGCAATTGTCCTGTTTCAGCCTCCCGAGTAGCTGGGACTATAGGCGCATGCCACCGCACCCGGCTAATTTTTGTTTTTTTTTAGTAGAGACAGGGTTTCACCATATTGGTCAGGCTGGTCTCGAACTCCTGACCTCAGGTGATCCACCCACCTCAGCCTCTCAAAGCATTGGGATTACAGGTGAGAGCCACCGCGCCCAGCCTTTAAATGGTTTTGACAAAGTCAGGTTTGTGTGTTTTTTACTGCTCCAGGTCTCCTATGGGAAACAGATGCTAGGAAGTGAAGGGACTCACCCAGGAAGGTGGAGCTGGGGCCAGAACTCAGAATCCCTGACTCCTGGTGGGTCCCGATGCCTGGAGTCCTTCTCAGTGTCCCCCTGGCCCTGGCCCTCCCCTGAGGTCTCCTCAGCTCCTGCCTCTTCCTCCTCTCTTTCCAGGCTCCTACTTGATGGTCAACACTTCCCAGCATGCCCCAGGCCAGCGAGCCCATGTCATCTTCCAGAGCCTGAGCGAGAATGACACCCACTGTGTGCAGTTCAGCTACTTCCTGTACAGCCGGGACGGGCACAGCCCAGGCACCCTGGGTGTCTACGTGCGCGTTAATGGGGGCCCCCTGGGCAGTGCTGTCTGGAATATGACTGGATCCCATGGCCGTCAGTGGCACCAGGCTGAGCTGGCTGTCAGCACTTTCTGGCCCAATGAATATCAGGTGGGCTGGGTTCAGTCAGCGGTCAGCCTGTGCCTGGAGGTGGGGCAGATGGATGTCAGCTTGAGGTCGGAGTGGATGAGTGGCTGAAGTTAGAATGTGTCTGCATTCAGCATCGGAAGCAACCTCTGGTCAAGGCCAGGGGTCAGTCTGGGGCCAGTCTGGGTTTAGCATCTGAGGTCATTGTTCCTAGGAATAGCCTCTGGGCCCAGGTCAAGGGTGAGTTGGAACAGTGCTGACCTGGAAACCCTATGTGACTGCTTGAGGGTAACTGTCCAGGATTTGGATGGAAACTCTGGCCTCCACCTTATTCACTATGGGCGCTGGGATCCCACTCCCAACTAGCTGGCTTGGGAGGGAGCGTCAGTGTGAGTGGGGCTGACCTCTTCTAGTTGAGGCAGAGGAAGCTGAGGCCAAGCTGAAAGTGGGCACCTCCCCAGGCAAGGCTGGAGGGATATCAGTATGACAGGGGCCCTCCCGCCTCCCCCAGGTGCTGTTTGAGGCCCTCATCTCCCCAGACCGCAGGGGCTACATGGGCCTAGACGACATCCTGCTTCTCAGCTACCCCTGCGGTGAGTCCTGGCCCACTGGGGGCGCAGGGGTAAGGGGTGCGGGCGGCCGCGGCTCCTGCCTGCAGGGGGCGCAGGCCCAGCTCACGACGCGGCTGTAACCCCGCAGCAAAGGCCCCACACTTCTCCCGCCTGGGCGACGTGGAGGTCAACGCGGGCCAGAACGCGTCGTTCCAGTGCATGGCGGCGGGCAGAGCGGCCGAGGCCGAACGCTTCCTCCTGCAGGTGAGTGGGAGCGGTGACCTTGGCTGGGGGCGGGGTTGGGGGGGTTGGTGGCTGCTTCTGGCACTGACTCCCTGCAGGATGCTGAGTCCCTGCTTCGTACTCCAGCACCGCGCACAGCGTCCCAGCCCTCCCCTAGCTCCGCTCTGCACTCTCTTGGGCCCCCATTCCCCAGGTCAGAGTGCGGCTCCAGGAACCTATGTCTGCGCTGTGTAGTAGGGACGGCTAAATGGGGCCCGGGTCAGAGCGAGATCGGGACACCTCGCTTCGAGGCGCCCTTGACCCTCTCACTCTCTTCCCTCCCTGCAGCGGCAGAGCGGGGCGCTGGTGCCGGCGGCGGGCGTGCGGCACATCAGCCACCGGCGCTTCCTGGCCACTTTCCCGCTGGCTGCTGTGAGCCGCGCGGAGCAGGACCTGTACCGCTGTGTGTCCCAGGCCCCGCGCGGAGCAGGCGTCTCCAACTTCGCGGAGCTCATCGTCAAGGGTCAGCTGCCGCACGCCGGGGAGCGCCGGAACCCCCACCCTCGAGGGGCGGGGCCGGCGGCGGGGCGGGGTCTGCGCGGGGGCGTGGTCGTGGGGGGTGGGGCCGGCAGGGTCTCGCGGGGGTGCGATCTGAAGGTGGGCCTGTGTAGATGGCAGTGGGCCAACCGGGATGAGATCTGATCTAGGGGTCGGGGCTGGCGTCGAGGGGGACGGATAGGGTCAAGGTGAGAGCCTAGAGGGGGTAGGGGTCTGGCTGTGTGACCACTGTGTTGATCCTAGCTGGCCTGCAGTCAGCTCCAGGAGACGAGGATTTGGGGGATTAGGAGGGGCCTGAGAGAGGAGTTGTGGGCTGATGGGCGAGGGCGGGGCCAGCCTTTGGAACCAGGTGCCCCTTAGGGCCTGGGGATTTAGTGGGGGTAGGAGAGCAGGTCTGGTTGAGGGCTTAGTAGCAGCGTGAGAGGCCCTGGGAGGATGGGGAGGGATTTGGGTGTGGTGGGACGCAGAGTTGGGTGCTGGGGTCTCACAGCAGCATCGGTCCGCCCCGCGTCTCCCCCATCTCCTCGCAGAGCCCCCCACTCCCATCGCGCCCCCACAGCTGCTGCGTGCTGGTCCCACCTACCTCATCATCCAGCTCAACACCAACTCCATTATTGGCGACGGGCCGATCGTGCGCAAGGAGATTGAGTACCGCATGGCGCGCGGGCCCTGGGCCGAAGTGCATGCCGTCAGCCTGCAGACCTACAAGCTGTGGCACCTCGACCCCGACACAGAGTATGAGATCAGCGTGCTGCTCACGCGTCCTGGAGACGGCGGCACTGGCCGCCCGGGGCCACCCCTCATCAGCCGCACCAAATGCGCAGGTGGGTGCAGCCGCTACTCCTGACCTCAGTCCCTGGTGTGGGACCCCTGGGTATGGGCCCAGGGCTATGGAGGGGCGCATTCGAGAGGAAGCGTGGCCTGGATCTGTGCTTGTAAACCCTTCTAAAACATTGCGATTTTTCCTTAACCCTTGTTTTGTCAAAGATGATGATAGCTAATACTTTACTTTGTGTCAGGCACTTAAACATATCTGTGTGTAGACACACACACAAACCCATATTTATAGATTTAAAACTTACAACAACACCACGATGTAGGTGCTCTTGTCATACCCATTTTACAGATGTGACTGAGGTACAGAGATGTTAAGTGAGTGGCCCAAGAGCACACAACTATTAAGTGGCAGAGATGGGACTGGAACTATTAACTGGCTGGCTCCAGAATCTATGTTCGTAATTCTACATCTAGATAAAATAAGCAACTAAACACCATCAAATACAAGTGTGTTACATATTCTAGCTGGTTTCTCTTATCTGGGCATTGAGCCTGAGGTCTGCTCTTCCTTGTTAAAAAGGGCAAAGCAGCTGTTGGAGGATGGTACACCTGTGCCAGATGAGGGTCTTTTTTGTTTAATCAGAAGAGGAATTGAGAACACCACAGGTTTTCCTTTTTGTGACTTTAGTGTTGTTGTTATTATTATTTTTCCTTTTGAGACAGAATTTTGCTCTGTCACCCAGGCTGGAGTGCAGTGATACGATCTTGGTTCACTGCAACCTCCGCCTCCTGTGTTCAAGCGATTCTCCCACCTCAGCCTCCCAAGTAGCTAGGATTACAGGCATGTGCCATGATGCCTGGCTAATTTTTGTATTTTTACTGGAGACAGGGTTTCACCACATTGGCCAGGCTGGTCTCAAACTCCTGACCTCAGGTGATCTACCCGCCTCCGCCTTCCAAAGTGCTAGGATTACAGGCGTGAGCCACCGTGCCTGGCCTAGTGTGTTTTTTTAATGGACTTATTAAGATAAATGTGGATTCACATGCAGTTGTAAAAAAAATACAGAAAGATTCTCTGTGCACTTCACCCTATTTTCTGCCGTGGTAACATGCTGCAAAACTATAGTATGATATCACAATCAAGATATTCATATTGATAAAAACCACAGATCTTATTCAGACTTTTCTGGCTTTGCTTGTACTTGTTTGTGTGTGTGCATGTGTGTATGTCATTCTGCACAGTTTATCACATGTGTAGGTTTGTGTATTCACCACTACAGTCAAAATACTGAATAGTTCAATCCCCTTAAGGACTCTTTTATAACTGCATTCACCTCCCTTTCTTCCTCTACTCCCCAACTTTTGGTAGTCACTAATCTGTCCTTCATTTCTAAAATTTTGTTGTTTCAAAAATATTATACGAATGAAATCAGAGTATATAACCTCTGGAATTGGCTTTTTTTGGGTAATAGCTTTATTGCAATATAATCCACATCTCATACAATTCAATCCTTAAAATGTACAGTGCAGTGGTTTTCAGTATACAGTAGTCCCTGTGTACCTGAGGTTTCTCCTTCTATGGTTTTAGTTACCTGTGGTCAACTTGAGGCTTGAAAAGGTGAGTACTGTACAATAAAATATTTTGAGAGAAAGAGATCACATTTGTATAACTTTTGTTATAGTGTGGTGTTGCAATTGTTCTATTTTATTATTATTGTTGTGAATCTCTTACTGTGCCTAATGTAGAAATTAAACTTTATCATAGGTGTGTATGTATAGGAAAAACATAGTTTATCTAGGGTTCGGAACTCTCTGTGGTTTAAGGCATCCACTAGGTTCTTGGAATGTGTCCCCTGCAGATACGGGGGGGACTACTGTATTGACAGAGTTACACAACCATTAACACAATCAATTCTGGAACATTTTCATCACCTCAGAAGGAAATTTTGTACTCTTTAGCAGTCATCCCCATTTCACTTGAACACCTCTAGCCCTAGGCAACCACTAATTTCCTTTCTGTCCCTATGGATTTGCCTCTCTGTGGACGTTTCACATAAATGGAATCATACAATATATAGTCTTTTGTGACTGGCTTCTTCCATTTATTTTATTATTTATTTATTTATTATTTTTTAAGATGGAGTCTCGCTCTGTCGCCAGGCTGGAGTGCAGTGGCGTGATCTCGGCTTACTGCAACCTCCACCTCCTGGGTTAAAGGGATTCTCCTGCCTCAGCCTCCCGAGTAGCGAGACTACAGGCACCTGCCACCATGCCTGTCTAATTTTGGTATTTTTAGTAGAGGTGGAGTTTGGCCATGTTGGCCAGGCTGGTCTCGAATTCCTGACCTCAAGTGATCCGCCTGCCTTGGCCTCCCAAAGTGCTGGGATTACAGGCGTGAGCCACCACACCTGACCCTTCTTCCATGTAGCATGATGTTTTCAAGGTCTATCCTCATTGTAGCATGTATCAATATTCCATTCTTTTTTATTGTTTAATAATATTCCATTATATGAATATATCACAGTTTATTTGTCATTCATCAGTTGATGGAAATTGGGGTTGTTTACACTTTTTGGCTATTATGAACAGTATTGCTATATTTGTGTACAGATTTTTATATTGATATATGTTTTCATTTTTCTTGAATATGTACCATATATATCATAAGATATCTCTGTGTTTGTTCATTGAGGAACTGCTGGACTGTTTTCCAAAGCAGCTGTACCACTTTAAATTCCCACTACTAGTCTATGAGAGTTCTAGTTTCTCTGCATCCTTGTCACCACTTGTTATTATCTGTCTTATTATAAGCACTCTAGTGTATATGAAATGGTATCTCATTGTGATTTTGATTTGCATTACCCTGATGGCTAATGATATCGAGCATTTTTTCATGTGCTTATTGACCATTTTGATATCTTCTTCTTTGTAGAGATGTCTATTCACGGTATTAAAAATGACCAAGTTTTATTTTTATTTTATTTTATTTTATATTTTTTGAGACGGAGTCTCGCTCTGTCGCCCAGGCTGGAGTGCAGTGGCGCGATCTCAGCTCACTGTAAGCTCCGCCTCCTGGGTTTACGCCATTCTCCTGCCTCAGCCACCTGAGTAGCTGGGACTACAGGTGCCCGCCACCTTGCCCGGCTAGTTTTTTGTATTTTTTAGTAGAGACGGGGTTTCACTGTGTTAGCCAGGATGGTCTCGATTTCCTGACCTCGTGATCTGCCCGTCTCGGCCTCCCAACGTGCTGGGATTACAGGCTTGAGCCACCGCGCCCGGTCATGACCAATTTTTAAATTGGGTTATTTGTCTTTTTATTATTGAGTTGTAATTACTTATATATTCTGAGTAGGCCCGGCACGGTGGTGGCTCAGGCCTGTAATCCCAGCACTTTGGGAGACTGAGGAGGGCAGATCACTTGAGGCCAGGAGTTCGAGACCAGCCTAGCCAACATGGTGAAACTCAGTCTCTACTAAAAATACAAAAATTAGCCAGGTGTGATGGTGGGTGCCTGTTGTCCCAGCTACTCGGGAGGCTGAGGCACAAGAATCACTTGAACCCAGGAGGTGGAGGTTGCAGTGAGCTGAGATGGCGCCACTGCACTCCAGCCTGGGTGACAGAGACTCTGTCTCAAAAAAAAAAAAAAAAAAAAAGTTATTTATATATTGTGGACACTAGATGCTTATCAGATGTTAATGTTTGCGTATACTTTCTCCCATTCTGTGGATTATATTTTCTTTTTCTTGATAGTTTTTTTTTTAAGCATGAAAGTTTTTAATTTATCTTTTACTTTTGTTGTTTGTGCTTTTGATGTCATACCTAAGAAACCATTGCCTAATCCACAGTCATGAAGATTTACTCCTGTGTTTTTTTTCTAATAGTTTTATACTTTCAGCTATTACATTCAGGTCTTTGATCCACTTTGAGTTAATTTTTCAAACGTGGTGTGAGGTAGGGATCCAACCTCATTCTTTTTTTTTTTTTTTTTTTTGACATGGAGTTTCACTCTCGTCACTCAGGCTGGAGTGCAATGGTGCAATCTCAGCTCACTGCAACCTCTGCCTCCCAGGTTCAAGCGATTCTTCTGCCTCAGCCTCCTGAGTAGCAGGGATTACAGGCACGCACCACCACGCCCAGCTAATTTTTGTATTTTTGGTAGAGACAGGGTTTCACAATGTTGGTCAGGCTGGTCTCGAACACCTGACCTCAGGTGATCCACCTGTTTCAGCCTCCCAAAGTGCTAAGATTATAGGCGTGTGTGGCCAACTTCATTCTTTTGTATGTAGATCTTCATTACCATTTGTTGAAAAGTCTATTCTTTCCTTATTGAATTATCTTGGCACTGGGATTGATTTCTTTCATTCAGCATAGTTTCCTTCATCCAAGTTGTGTATATCATTAGTTTATTACTTTTTATTGCATGGTGTGGAAATGCCAGATTGTTTAACCATTCACCTGTTGAATAACATCTGAGCTGGTTCCACTTTTTCATTATTACAAGTAAAGCTTCTGTGAGCATTCACACACAGGTTTTTGCATGAACATAACTTTTCATTTTTTCTGGGATAAATGCTCAAGAGTACAATCAATGAGTCATATGGTGACTGCACGTTTAGTTTTGTCAGAAACTGCCAGAGTGGCTGTGTGGTTTTATATTCTCACCAACAATGTATGAGTGATCCAGTTTTCTGCATCCTTGCCAACATTTAGTGTTGTCACTATTTTTTATTTTGGACTTCCTGAGAGGTATGTAGTGATAGCCCATCATGGTCTTAATTTGCATTTCTTCAGTGTCTAGTGATGTCGAACATCTTTTCTTTTCTTTTCTTTTTTTTTTTTTGAGATGGAGTCTCACTGTGTCGCCCAGGCTGGAGTGCAGCAGCATGATCTCAGCTCACTGCAACCTCCAGCTCCCAGGTACAAGCAATTCTTGTGCCTCAGCCTCCCAAGCAGCTGGGATTACAGGCGCATGCCACCACGCCTGGCTAATTTTTGTATTTTTAGGACAGATGGGGTTTCGGCATATTGGCCAGGCTGGTCTTGAATT